AGAAAAGAAAGAAAGAGAGAAAAAAAGACGAAAAAGAGAGTTAGGCCTCCCGCCTCTTGCAAGCTTATAGGATCGATTGGGCTTTTCTTTCTTTCTTTCTTTCGGAGGAAGAAGAGGGTACCTTTGGCGAGTGGCTTGACGGGCTACCATTTGAGGTGGCCGCGGCTACCTACCGCCCGGCTGCCTGCTCAAGCACTACACGCGCGCTCCGGCCGTGGGTCGAGAGATCACGTCACGCCCGGCAGCCCTAGGCCTAGCCAGACAGGCCCCGCGGCCGGCGCGCTGGCCGCGACCGCGACCCGCGGCTCTCACTCGAGCCCGAGAACTGCCCATCAGACGTGCCTGAACCGTCGGATGCGACTGGCACACCTCAAGTCCCAGAACCCCCGAGAAGAGAAGGGGTTACACCAATCCTCGCTACCCAACGCGGCCAAAGGATATCCACCTCGAGAACCTCGAGAGGAGTTACACAGTGCCTGGTGTGAAGATTGCCCTGCCTGCAGCCTGCGAACAAACGAGCGCGGGGCGGGCGGGGTGCTGCAACACTGGCTGGCCCCCGACGGGGAGGGAGGGAGTGTGTGGACCATCTGTTGCGAGGTGTCTGCCTTCCTTTGTCGCAGAAAGAACGCTGAGGGAGGGTGTAGAGGATGTAGAGTGTAGAGCGCTGTAGAGCTGTAGAGATGTAGAGCGCTGTAGAGCTGTAGAGCTGTAGAGCTCTACATCCTCCGCGTGACGAGGCGGGTGCGTTGTAGAGCGATGTAGAGGCGCTCTACAACGTGAAATCTCTACAACAAACTCTACATCATAAGCGGCGAACGAGGCACGCACGGTCTCTCTCCGACATGAGGGGATGAGGCGCGTTGCACTTGCCAGTGCTGCCCTGGCCTTCTGTCTGCCCGCCCAATGGGTGGCAGGTGCCTCTGCTGCTGACCTGTGGCGTGCCTCACGGCTGCGACTGGCCGGCGCCTCGGCGCGTCAGCTCGGCTCGGCGTAGCGATAGTGGCCAGCGCAACTCGCCTGGACTCAACGCTCAGCCAGGAGCTCCCGCACGCGCTGGCGCGAGGCATGGCGCATGCAACGCGTCTGAATGCTCGCCTCGCCTCGCCCCTCGCGCAAATGCGACCGTCCTCGCAGCCGACAGTCCACCGCCTGCTAAAGAAGCACAGCGACGAATGCGGCACCGGCGACGCATGGCAGGCTGGTCATGACGCAGTTATAGGGTGTTGTGTGCCGTCAGAGTGACTCTCTGTGTGTCAGGGATAGTCAGGGCCGTCCATCAGAGCTCCAGTAAGCTCGGAGACACCCCATTAGGATTAGCGCGGCTCGACCTCCTTGAGTCACTGCCTTCCCGGCGGTTTGGCTGTAGAGCCTCTACAACAAACTCTACAGCAAAATCGCGCTCTACATCGCTCTACAACGGAGGCGCTTCGTCCCGCGGCGGATGTAGAGCTCTACAGCTCTACAGCGCTCCAGAGCGCTCTACATCTCTACAGCTCTACAGCGCTCTACACTCTACATCCTCTACACCCTCCCTCACTCAGAAAGAACGAGATACGAGTGCTCCGCTGCAGCCTCGGCCCTCGCTGGGTCAGAACATCGACCCGCGAGGTGGGGTGCTAGTCTGAGACCGATACGTCGCAGTTCTCTTGCTCCAAGCGCTTGCGCTTCGGCGGTAGTGATCTGATCACCCGAATACCACGTTCGGATCGCTCCTCATTCCAAAACCCTGTCAGCAGTTCACCTACGGGTATGTTCGTAAGAACTACATACACTACAACAAAGCATAGACTTTTTGTTTGTACATGCAGTGGATCGCTGATTGGCAACCCCAACAGCAACACGAGGACGCACCTCCTGTTGAAACGACTTTTCAACACAGACAAAATGTGTGTATGACCGTCGCCGCGGCGCGCTCCTTCAGGCGTTTCAACCAAGGCTGGTCGGACGGGCAGGCGTTCAGCTTCGGCGAGTGCGTCCAGCCTGCCTTTCCCGCCCTCTCCCCTCTGCGCAAGGCCGAAAGCCGGCGCCAGCGAGACATTGCGCAAGCCCCAGCAGCGCCGGCACCAGCCTCAGGGCCAGTCGTCAACACCTACAACTGGCGCCAAAGCGAGCTGGCGCCGGCACCAGCGCCGGCGCCGGTCGTCAACGCCTCCAACTGGCGGCTTGGCGATCCGCTCCATCTCGCGACGCCGGGCCTAGCGCTCAAACACGGCGCCGCGCGATTTGATGGCGTCAACACATCCAACTGGAGGCTGGGCGACACCGGGAGCCTGCCACTGCACGGGGGTGAGCGCAATCAAGAGATCCCTGCAACCGACTCGAGCTGGCGACTCGGTGAAAATCACCACTTCAACACTGGCAGCATGACAGAGCTCGGACCCTCCGCTCTGCGGCCGGCAAGGCGCGACAAAGGCGACTCGACCGCTGTCGCCGCCACTGGTAGCAATGGAGAGCTATTCGCCGCCCTCGGCCAGCCTCGCCAGATCGCACCTCGCGAGTCGGCCTGGCGCCGCGGGGAGAGTAATGGCAGCTGGCCGCCTTCTCCCACGAGGTGGTTGCTGTCACGGGTGCCTTCAGAAGCGGGAGGATGCGAGCCGACGGCGTGCTTTCCCCTCACCAACACGGACGTGACGAGGCCACAGGAGCCAAGGCGGCTGACTGCGAGCCAAAGCCTCCCCGCACTGGGCGTGCTGCGGGCAGGCAGCGAGCATCACTATCGCAGCCTTGCTCCTGGGTTGCCGGCGGCGAGGCATGGGCGGAGGAGGTTGGCTGCAGGTATCGTGCCTCACTCGAACTCGACGGTGCACCCGTGAATGGACCCAACTGCCGGGCGCGTCTAACGTAGCGGGGCGCGTGGCATCGGCCTAAGCGTCGGCCTCTGTTGGGGGGCTCACTCACTCGTGACTGACCGCCGTGACTCGACGCGAGTCGCTACACGGCTTTACATCCGCAATCCGGCCGTGGCGCCGCCGCCGCCCGCGCGTCGCGAGTGAAAAAAAGGCAGTGAAAAAATGAGGCAAAAGGGCAGTGAAAAAAATGAGGCACGCGCGCAATAGAGAAGACTACCACCAGAGGATGAGCGAGAGACACACATGGAGATACAGAGGGCAGAGGGGCGAGACGGGAGAGCGAGGGACTCTCACCCTCTCTCCACGTCCAGAACAGACAACTTACACGTCGCATAGAGAGGTGCTGCAAACGCTCACACCGCACATATGCTACCCCGTGTGCAGCGGCCGTTTCGCCCCGTCGATCGTTTCGCTCGCCGTTGGGACCAGGCCCTCCACCTGCCGCACCGGGGGGCGAGGCGTCGATGGGGAGTGGGCAGCCTTCAAGGGAGGGAGGGCGAGGATGTGGCCAGGTCGAGCCAGCATGCCCAGCAATCCGACCGCGCTACCCGCCATGGCTCTACGCCCGGCGCGCCAGTCTCCTCTGCTCCTCGGACTGCGGCTGGTTGCCGACGGTGTTGACGTATGTGAGCTCGCACCCCCGCTCGGAGGGGGTCTTGAAGCTGAACTGGTGGATCCACATGTTTGCTCCGAACTTGATGCCCTCGTGCACCGGCATGGCCTCGTGCACCGTCCGCTGGTCTGCGGCGCGGCGGGAGCTGATTAGCGGTAGAGGAAGGGGGCGAGAGTTCCGCCGGCGTTGGATGAGCGTTGGATGAGGCGGGCCGGTGGCAAGGCGACTGCCGTGCGTGTGTGGTGTGTGCGCGCGCCTGCCGTCATGGGCTGGTCGTTGTAGGTGGAAGGCCACAGGATCGCACTTCCCTTGGTCGGGGTGACCTTGATGCCGCCGCCGACGGCGGGGAAGGCGGTTTCTCCGCCAGAGTCCACCTGAGGCGCGTGGGGAAGGGTCGCCGGCGTGACCGGAAGAGAAGAGAAGAGAAGAGGAGAGGAGAGGAGAGGAGAGCAGAGGAGAGGAGAGGAGAGGAGAGGAGAGGAGAGGAGAGGAGAGGTGAGGTGAGGTGGCGGCGTGACGGCGGAAGAGAAGCGAGGCGAGGAGCCGTACCTCATTGAGGTACATGAAGAAGGTGAGGACGCGCGGGCCTGCTCTCACGGCGAGACGTGTGGAAGAGATGGCGCGTGGAGGAGGAGGGCGGCGCGTGTGTGCCCTGCGGAGTCCAGACAGCCGTGTTCTGGTCGTGGTGCCGCCGGTAGAACTGGCCCGGCTCGTACCGCACCTACAGTCATGCGCCCTCCCGCCTCGGTGCCGGGCCGGGCCAGGGGCGCCCTCCTGCTCGGCGGTGCGCGCGATCTGGAGGTCCTCGCCGTTGTCGTACGGCGTGCCTGGGGAGTAGTAATTAATTCAGAGCTATGGAGAACTCTTTGAGGTCCCCCATCGTCGAGCATTCATTCCTACGTATACTATTCATGTGCGGCGTGCCGGTCAGGTGGACATGGCAACTAATCCCTCGTGATGACTACCAACGAGCAGGCGCCTGTGAGGTCGTTGATCCGGCGCACGACGCGGTGGATGTGCTCATTCGCAAAGCATTTTGGAAAGTTGCACCAGCACTGGTAGGAGGTCCGCACGGGGTTGAGCTGGTCGCCGGCGAGCGAGCGCTCGAACGACTCCTTGCACACGTCTCGGAACGCCTGCGCCTCGACCTCGCTCAGAAAGTCGTGGTACTGGACGACCCATGGCGAGCGAGAGAGGACGAGCGGCGAATACTCGGGGAAGGCGTCGATGCTGTGCTGGAAGAGCTCGTCGAGGTGGCCTTCCGGCACCGCCGCTGTCTGGTTGTCCCGTCGACACCTCGCGTTGCGAGGTGCGTTCGGTCGCCGGCCCGGGTCGCCCGGGCATCGGCCACAGGTCCGCGTGCACTGTGAGCCGTACGGCGGGCTCCTGCACAGGCCCGCCTTATGCCACGGCTCGCACATCACAGGCTCGGTGTCGGCGCACTCGGCGGTGCTGCGGCTGTCCGCTGCCACCTCGCTGCCGTTTGACGACGATGCTGTTGGCGACCCGCCGAGTCGCGAGGCCAAGACTGCGGCGCACACCCCAAGCGCGGCGACGCCCACCCATGTGCCCTGGGGGCCGCCAACGCGAGACGCAGAGGACACGGCGATCTTCGGCTTCAGCGGCTTCTCCTTGCCGCGGCCCATTGTTCGGCTCGTCGATGCGCGACTTGCACTGTGCAGGCGCGGGCCGCCAAGAGAGTTGTCCTCGCGAAAAACGCGTGCCAACTTCATACGAAGTTTGTGACTGGCGCTTCTGTCTGTCTCTCTCTAGTGTGACGCGCACGGGTGTCGGTGGTAGCGAGTGAGCCGCGCGCGCGCGCAGCGCGGCGCGGCTCGGTGGGAGTCAGTTGCTTGTCACAGAAAGTACAGCGACAACCTCTCTTCAAGAATAGTCCTTCGCAGTTTCTCGCCAATTCTCGCAGCGACCTTCACGGTCTCACGGCCAGACTGCCCCCCTAGATTTTAGCCCCCCACTACCCGGTTGCACTCGTGCGACGTAGCGGGGGGCCACGACTACGTTTACGAAAACATAAGTAGTCCCGCGAGGTGTGAATTTGGCCGCCCCAGTAGCCCCCTTTCCAATGGCTTGATTTTGCGGCGCGTCCCCAGAGCGTCCAAACTTGGATGGGCGAGAACCGTTATCTCGCAACGAATCTCGCCGGCCTCACCGGCCCACACCGGCCCTCACTTTGACCGACGCCACCGTCCGCTCGACTGCCCGATGAAGAGCGACCCGTACGACGCGCACTTGTCGTCCTCCCTCCTCGCCACATGACGGCCGCCCCCCGACACCGACAGTCGCGCTCCGCACGCCTTCGAGGTCAGCTGCGGCCGAGCGACGATCGGCTCGCCTCCGATCGCTGGGCGCGGTCACTCTCCGGCCCATCACCCGCCTGCCGATCACCTGTCCGCCTCGCCACGCGCGGGCCGCTCGCCTGCTCGCCACCGCCGCCGCGCGTCCCCTCGCCGCCACGCTTCCCTGTGCACCTGACGGCGCTGCGCAGACGGCGCGCTCAGGCAGACAGAGCAGCGGCCGCCCAGGCGGTCGCTGCTCCGGCCCGTCCGAATCCGTCCGCCCGCGCGTGCTGCTGCCGCCGCCGCCGCCGCTCCACCCGGTGCCCGTGTGTCGTGAGAGTTGCTTTGTGTATGTGTATGTCGTATTTGTGTGGACTTATGTCTGACTTGAGCCTCTATCTATGATAGAGACCGGTACTCGGGTTTGGATGGTAGCGGGGGGCCCCGCCGGAGGCTGGTTACTGATAGGGTCTGAGAGTAGATTTTAGGGGAATCTTCCAAAGCCACACAGAAGCCCCGTGGGGGGTCCCCTGACCACACAGGCCCACGAGAGCTACCCGAAGACATCTGGAGCCGTCACTTTGAGTGTGGGCCGCGGCCGCGGCCCTCTGTGGTGGCCTGTCCAGTCAGCCGGCTGCGGCTCCGCGCAGCGCGGGCCGCGCCGCTAGAGACCCGCCGCGACACACCGTCACACCGGTCGCTGCATCGTCTCATCCAAGCCAGACAGTAGGCCCACTAGGAACCAGAAGACACCTCTCACTTAAGCGGGACGGTGGCGCGTGGACCGCCGGGCGGGCGCTGCTGCTGCTGGCGCTGCTGCTGCTGCTGCTGGCGCTGGCGCTAGTGCGGGCGATTGCTCGCGGCGGCGGCGCCGATCGCCGCGCCCTAGGCCGCGCCGCGGCGCAGTCGGTGGCGCCTCCTCCTCCTCCTCCTCCTCCTCCTCCTCCTCCTCCTCCTCCTCCTCCTCCTCCTCCTCCTCCTCCTCCTCCTCCTCCTCCTCCTCCTCCTCGCCGTCCTCCTCGCCGTCCTCCTCCTCGCCGTGTATGTCCGTCGGTCCACTATCTCCCTCTTCTCCGGGTCCTCTGCCGCCTCCCTTCTCACTGTGTACATGCAGGGCCGAGTTCGCACCGCGTCCAGAACCACCTTCGAGGCGTCCTCCGCGACGTCCTTTCCGAGGTATGCTGTCGCCACTGCGTCGCCGTCGGCGTATGCGTTGCAGGCTATTCCCACGTGCGATGGCACCCCCACACGAAGACCACCGCCTCTAGCTGCGATCTATAGTGAGCAATCGCCTCTAGGAGACCGCCTCTCTCCCAGTCCCTCAGACCTTCTGGCATCCCTTTGCGGTGCGCATTCTCAATCTGCTGCAGCGCGGGTTTGCAGTCGCATAGTTAGTACTAAAAGCACCGTCGCGTCTGTGCGTCGCTCGCGCTCGCCATTTTGCGTAGGTATGCGAGATCGCGTACATCTCCGCGTCTATCACCTCCAGCAGCGTGTCAATCTTGGCGCGCGCGAGGAGGATGACGAGGCCATCGCCCTCGAGTGTGTAGCACGTCGAGATGATTGGCTCGAGGTCGAGGTTGCACGCGAGCTCGAGCTCGAGCGTCTCGGACTGGTGGTCGAGGATCGCCTTCATCTTTTTCGGCAGCTTGTCGCCAATCTCGTCCTCGAGCAGCGTGTCCACAAAACCGGGCAGCATGCCAAAGTTCTTGGAGATCTCGTTGCTGCACTCCTCGCGCGAGCACCAGCGGATCGTCGAGTAGCCCTTCATCGCGCCGCCGCCCAGCTTCTCCTTCCAAATGGCGCGCGCCGATGGGTGGTTCTGCACCAGCCCAAGCCACGGCGTCATCCACTCGTTGAGCACCGGCAGGTCGACGTGCTCGCCGCAGTGCGAGAGGGTGTGCGAGATGCAGAGGATGGCCTCCATGTTGATGTACATGGGCTCAAGGTTGCGCATGGCCTTGCCGTTGGTCGAGCA